GCTCCCTCCTCTTCCCTTCCGGTCTCTTCCTTTAACTACCCGCCCCCCCAGCCCCCAACACTAGTCTCTCCACCCACCTACCCCAACCTTTTACACACCCCTCAGCCTAGCCCTGTTCCAGCAAGGGAATCTGTGAAGTCCCTTTGCAAAATGAAAGGGTCTAGATAACAACATGGGAGTGGACTGGGGTCTTGCTTCAAAATCACAAACCATGACACAATTATCGGTTCACCTCCAAAGGTACAGTCTTAGCTATTTCTTCTCCAAGACAGGAAAAATAATTCTAAAGAAAGCAATACCTATCTGACTAAAGCCATTATCAAATAAAATGCACAGAGCAGTCAAGCTAACCCCTAGCACGCCCCCCCCCAGCCCCAATTGACACAAACTCTCCACTCCTCCCTAACCAACTCTTCAGGCCATGGCTAGTTTGGAGCAGGCCCACCAATTATATGAAACATAATAAATAGTTCATAACAAGCACTGATTCAGTGTTCATTCTATGCCAAACACAGTGCTAGTGCTTTCCATAAATTATCTCATTTTTTTCCCTCCTATCTGCCTTAAAAGTTGGTATTGGTATTTAAATTTCCCAGATTAAGAATATGATCCTTTGAGAGGCTGTGACCTTTCTAAATCCTAAAAGCCACTAAGTGGCAGAGATGACATTAGAATCTGGGTCTGAATTGATATCCCAAACCCTAAGGCACAGAAAAGCAATGATTTTTTTCTAATACCATCACAACCCCAGGACTTAATAGAGAAGGGTAGGTTAGTCATAACTATCAACTAAACACTTCTCCCCCAAGTGGGATGCCACAAACTGATTCACCCACCTACACAGAATAAAGACCCTGACTTTTCATACTAATACAATACTGTTTCTTGACCATTTCCCTCAGTTTGGGACCGGAGTGGGCCGTTGGTGTAAAGGGATGTCAAGGATGGTTTGGTGTGTTTCCCAACAGACAACTCCTTTCCTGGGGGCCGCTGTCTTGCAACCACTCTCACTTCAACTCTAGATGGGGAGGAGAACGTTTAGGCCGTGCAGCAGGTGGAAAAGTAAAAAGATTTCTAGAAGGCTCTTTCAAGAGTGAAGGGGGTTTGGAGGGGAAGCTCTTCTGTGACATCCTAAAGCACTGTGACCCTTGGTTCTCTCAGCCCAGCAAAGGGACAGTCTTTCAGCAACACCACACCCGTACCCCTCCCCCTCACAAAAATCCAGGCCAGGGTTTCCCACCTGCACGATGCTAAGGCCAAGTGAAGGGAGAGGGAAAAGAGATGGTACGGGACTGGAACTGGACTCGGGTTAGAGGTGGGAGGGAATAAAAGGGGGAGGAGGCCTCAATGCCTGCAACCATCCCGGGGCACGTGCACCAGTGACATCATCCTAGGCTACCTCAAACACAGACCTTTGACCCCTGTGGCGAGGGAAGGGACCGCTAGCTAAGGCTCCTGGGTAATAGCCTTAGGAATTCTGGGAACCCAGAAAGGAGCCGGGGAACCCAAGTGTCCTGTCATTATCTATGTTAGCCGGATCCTAGGGATTTAAGCCTCTTGCCTGCTTCCTCCTTTCCGCCTTCAGCCCTGACCTCCCAACCTACTTTTCCGACCGGAGTCTGGACACGCCCCTCAGATAAATCGCCTTCTCTCTCAAGGACTAGATCTCTGATGGGGGCACAAGTTGGGGCACAGGGCACCGGGTCCTGCGGGGCACTGTTTCCTATCATCGGGATCCCGGTGCCCCCACCAGCCGCCAGTCAGAATCTCTCTAGGTCCCCAACACTCCCGCCCCTCCCGCGCTGTCTCAGGGCGGAGTCTGTGGAGTTGAAATCAGGACACGGCGGGAGAAAGAGTTATATAACCCTGAGAAGCGGAGAAAGGCGAGTGGAGACGAGGACAGACAGCCCGAAGGGAGCCAAGGGAGGTGCAAAGAACTCCAGGGTGATTGAGGAATAAACGTTAGGGGTGGGAAGGGCTTTAGTGCGTATCAAAGAGCGAAATTGGCAGTTGGCTTGAGGGCCCAGAGAAAGCCACCCGGCAGCCCGGGGCTTCCCCGCAGTGCCCGCCCTCAACAGCTGCAGAGCCCTGGCGGTAAAGCCTCGGGAAAGGGCGCTGGGACCCACTCCCTTTCCATGGGGGAAGCAACCAAAACCTGAGCGGGGAAAGGCCCACAACTAAGCAGATGGGGCTGGAAACCACAGCCCCACCCAGCCCACCTGGGAGCCGGGGGGCGCCAGCTGGGGGGAGGGCGGTGTGGAACAGGTAGCCGGCCCTCCCAAGCGAGGCTGGACTTTTAACATTCGAGACCCTGCGAAAGAACGCAGACAGAACCAGACGTTTAGGCCTGCAGAGGCTGAGGAGCATTGCGCTGGACTAGTTTGCAAACGCAAGCTCGAGCCTGGGGGGCGGGAGGTGTGGGGCAGAGAGCCCTACTCGCCGCGCAAGCGCAAAGGGATGCTCTGGCGCGTGCGGTGGAGGGGGGCAGGCGCGAGCGTGTGGGAGTGCACGTGCGGGTCCCGCGTAGCTACCTCCTCCTTTCCCTCACCTCCTCCCCTCTCACTCTTCCCGTCGCTCTATCATATCCCTTCCCATTGGTTACTGGGATCCTAGCGTCAGCGACATCCGCTGCATCAGATTGGACAGAAGGAGAGTTAGGGTATCTGGCTCTTAAGTCTTGCTCTCCAGTTACTCTGGCAACCGGGCAAGTAAGCCCGGGGTGGGACTGGGAGTGGATCTGAGCGCCCCGCCTGGGTTCCGCCTCCCTCTAGAGCAACTCCAAGTCCATTTCTGTTGGGCCTCATTTCGCTGCCTCACCTCGGTTCTCCCTAGGTTCTCTGTGTCCGGGAACAAGACGTCCAGTTTTGACCTTCCCCCCATCGTCCCTCAGCGACCCCCCACCCTCTTCAACCCCCATCCCAAGACACAGACAACAGCCGTAGCAGACTTGAAGCAAATCTGCGTTGCTTAGTAACCAGCCCGTTAGTCCCCTCCCCACTATTTACCCTAGCCAGGAGAGGCGGAGACTGAGTCGTCCGCCCCATCCCCCACCAGAGGCCCTTCGCCCTCCCGCCCACAATTTCCTGCTTGGGAGCCCAAATGACTGGAAGTCAAAGGAGGCTATCAGCACACCTTTCCCTCTGCCCGGAGCGAGGGGCTTCAACCGCTTTTACGGCCACAACCTCTACCCAACCCGCAGGCCTCTCAGCTCTGGATATGCGTCTCGGCCACGCCATCTCGTGGCCACCACTGGGAAGGTTCGGCACGGAGAAGGGCCCGAGCTTGCCGAGGGATAGAAAACTGGAGATCAGAGCTCAGGCAGAACCAGGGATAAGAAAAGTTGGGCGAGGCCGAGTGAAGGAGGGTGCGGTGGGATGGGGGCCTACTGCTGAGGGTCTCGGGGATCCTGGTGGAAATTAGGACTGAGACTAAATACCTCACCTGTGAGAAGAACTGGCATACCCCTGTGTAACCACATCTGACCTCAGCAGGCCATTGCACTGACTCGTCTGCCAACTCTTAAAGTTTAGTCTTGCCCTTCAGTTAGGGACGTCCCGCCCCGCCCTACTAACAGGAAAGGGAATCCCAACCCAAGGGGGTCTGGGAGTCCTTTCAAGCGTTTAACATCTGGAACCCGAGATCTGTGCCTTAACAGTTCTTCCTCACCCCCGCCCTGCCTCGTCTTGGGGATCAGGATGTCTTGCGCTCCAGTCGTCTTCTCAGTACCTTTCTAGAGACCCAAACATCCTTCCCCAGCTCTACCGCTACTGCGACTCTGACGTCCCGCCCCCCTTGCTCGGAGATGTTTTCCCTCTTTTTGGACGCCCTAGCAGTTCCCCGTTACCTGTTTGTGGGAGGGTCCCATGTGTTCAGGCTCCCCAAAGTCTCCCGGGGGTCGAGCGGCCCCCCCGTCTCCCCGGCCGGGGCTGGGGGGGCCGCTCCGCCCAGTGGCGCAGTTGGATTTTCCAACACAAACACCCGCACCCCCAACCAGCTCTCCCAGCCCCGCCCCCTTATCGTGGTCCCGCCCCTCCCGCGCTGGGGCCCTCTCCGGCTCCGCCCCGCCTTTGGTCAGTCTAGCTCGTCCTGCACCGGTGCCAAGTAGGAGATCGGGAGCGATGGCGAGGTTCAGGTCGCAGTGTATGGGGTCCGACTCTGATCCCCGCCTTACAAATCCCTTTTCCATTCAGATCCCGCGCCCTTCCAAGTTAAGCCCCGCCCCGCCAGTTTAAACACTGCCCCGCGACTTGGCCACGCCCCCAATAGACCCACTGCCCTGCCCATTGGCTCAGGGCCGCGCCTTCTTTCCGCTTAAGGCCGCCCCACTTCCCTCGCAGCTCTGGGCTCAGCAGCAGCTCATCGGTAGTTCCAGTCTTATGTGTGTCCCAGGCTTCTTTCTCTCCCTAATCATCACCATTTCACTAAAAGACTTGGGGCTTGTGGTCACAGGTGTTTTAATGTCCCCAACCCCCAATATAACTCTTCCAACGTTATGTAACGTTCAGTTATGGCTATCACCACTGGGCATCACAAGCCTAAATGAGATCCAGTCTTAGTCCAAAGAGCCTTAGCTCCTAGAGTCCCTGACTCTCCCTCAAGCAAAGAAGAAAAGGAGGCCTCCTCAGTTGTCCAGGCTCATGAGTAGAGCAGTACCCCTCTTGATCCAGTGATCAGATGCCATAGCCCCAGAACGGAGGTCAATGCCGATGACAAAGGAGGATCGATCTGCGCTGCCTGCCCGGTTGGGATAGTAATAGCAAGGACACGAGTACATGCCTGGAGGAAAGGAGAGGAAAAGAAGTCAGACTCCTTCAGCCTCTTGGAGAGCAAGGAAGGAACAGGTGAGGATTAGAGCAGGGAACAGGTTAAGATCTAAAAAGGGACCAGGTGTGATGGTGCATGCCTATAATCCCAGCACTCAGGAGGCTGAAGCAGAAAGGTCACTGCGAGTTCCAGGCCAGCCTGGACTACATAGTGAATTTGAGGCCAGGCTGGCTATGTAGCAAGACCTTGTCTCAAAAAAAAAAAAAAAAAAATCCAAGCAAAGGATAAGACAAGTATTCTAGGGGAGCTGTCCCACCCTTGGCACTCTTTTTGCGGCTCTCTGCAGGACGAAAGTGAATGGTGGGCATGAGACAGACCAGTTGCATGGGCTCTGCCTCCACCAAGCAGGAGTTCTTCCGGTCCCAGCCAGCACCTTCCAGGTATAGGCCCCGAACCCAAACACCATCCTGAAGAGAGATGGGGACAAGTTTGGGGAAGCCTAGGCCCTAAGTTGCCACCACCCTTGATCTAACTTCTGTTCTCTCTTCTTTTCCAATTATGTTCCACTTTTGCTCCCACCACCCTCCTTCACCAGATCCTCTTTTGCTCAGATCCCCAAGTTCATACAGCTTCTACCTTTGGTGGATACACTAGGTTGCTATCATCCACAGTGGAAACAATAAACTCCCAGGAGAGGCTGTCCACTGAAATCTGGGGATTGAAGATGAAAATAAGGGAGGCCTCCAAAGTTGAGAGCTGATGTATGTCCTCGGCCTCCCAGCCTCTTCCCAAATTCCACATCACTCACATTGTTTTGGCGAGCTGAAGACTGCAATACGGCAGTGAGGAATCCGGTGGGAAAGGTGAAGCCAGAGAGCCAGAAGATCACAGGAGGCCGGGCTCGACTGGCCCACAGCTCAAACTGCTCCACACGCATGGCCAGGTCCCGGGTCCATGAAGCCAGTGGCTTCTGAGAGGGATATGCCTGGGAGAGGAGGCAGTGTGTGTGTTCATTTGTTTCATCATGCAGTCCGATCCACAGCTGCTATGGGAAACAGAGCGCAAACAGTGGTATAATCTTACCTTTCCCCAGAGTGGAGGAACATGGGCATCAAAGATGCAATTGAAAATCTCTTCCAGGCTGGTCGACATGACAATGAGGCCCTGGATGCCCTTCTCGAGGTCTGTCAGTGACAACCTGAGCGGGATGAAATGGGTGGGACGTTGGAGACGGCACGGCACTGACTGGGAGGACCATCACAGCCAGGGTGAAGCCCTTGCCCCTGCCCCCTCCCACATTCTGCAGAGCCCCTCTCAGTCTCACAGGATTGTCTCCATCAGCTTGTTGTATCTTTGGATCTCCTGCAGGAGGACCACATTGAGGGGGGAGGGATCGAGAGCCAGCAGTTTTCGGGTCCCCTCATAATCAATCATCTCAGGGATTTGCTGCTTCACATCAGCAGCCAGTTCAAGAACCTGAGGAAGTGGAGGCGCTGAGTGCAGCTGTCTCTTTCTGAACACTTCCCCTCCCCCGGCATGTGTCAGTTCTCACCTTCTCTTCACGGCTCTGGCCCCCAGCCCTGGTAGGTGTGATCTGAGGTTGCAGGGAAAGCAGAGTCTCAAATAGAGTTCGTGCCTCAGTTATCTGAGAGGCCACATCAGCATTGGGGTGCTGGCCAAAGGCCTCAGGGGGGTCCATGCTGGGCAACAAGCTGATATATTCCTTGTAAGAGGCCAGGCTCCCATCCTTGGGGATAAAGTAAGTCTCCAGTGCTGACAACCTGGGGAGAACAGCATAACTGTCACCATATAGCAGGGACACAAGCTTCAATTCCAGGGCAAGACCCCAAACTCTATGTATGTTCTATTTAGGATGACCTGTCTCTTGCTCCCCCTCCCAGTCTCCCAATCTGTCTTCTCTCTCCCTCATATTCTCTCCTCAAATACGTCCCTATCTCCAATCCTGCAACCTGCTTTGTTTGTGTCCTCTGATGCCTCACCGGTAGGAAGGAGTTGACAGAGCCTGGTCACAGAAATAGTCATTGATGTAGGTGGTGAGCAGGCGCCTGTCCCAGTCATCAGTGACATGTCCACCGTAGTTTACGCCAGCAATGAGGTACTTCAGTGCATCCCAGGCAGTCTCTTCATACTCATCCAGATAGAGGCTCAGCAGGTTCTCCGATACCTGTGCATGATCCCCACCCGCATCCCAGCCCCCACAGTTACAGTTGCACTCTTGCTGATTGGCATTTCTCCCAGGGGCTTTCTGTCAGCCAATATTCCTGCAGGGGAATCAAGGGGCAGGTAGCGCAGGGAGAGAAGGCTGGGATGAGGGACCCTGGTCAGTACAAACCTCAAAGTCTGAGTCATTGAAGCCATAGATAATGTTCCAGCCAAGCTGCAGGAACTTTTTGCGTTCAAGTAATATAGAATGGAAGAAACAGAGCGCAAACAGCAGCTTCTTATATTTGGCAGGTTTGGAGCAGCGGGTAAACTGTGGTTCTGACATCAGTTGGTAAAGACGCGTCATGTTGGCCTTTAGGCCCTGGGGAAAATAAAGTACAGAGGTGGGGTGATGTGCATCATGCTCAGCCCTGCCAGATCACAACCACAAATAGTTGTGGAGGTTGTTCACTGCACAAAGGTAACGTCTGAAGGGGTGAATGAAGGCTGAAATCTAGCCCTTGATCTTATGTGGAGATGTGTACTTATTTACAAGGATGGGTTCTCCACATTTAAAAAAAAAAAAAAAGATTACAGGCGTGGGCATTTTGCTCAGTGGTGTAGCATTTGCCTAGCATGTATGAGGCCCTGGGTTCCATCTCCAGCACAGTAAATAAGTAAATAAATAAATAGAATAAAATTGCACCCCTACTTCATACTTATAAACATCAATTCCAAAGTGACTGAAAAACCTAAATGTGAATGTCAAAATTATGCTTTTTGTGGGGAAGACAAGCATAGATGAATATTGTAATAATCTTGGAGGAAAAAAGGATTTTTTGACCAAGAAAGGAATGCAAAACATTTTTAAAAGCTAAATTAAAATTCATAAAATTATTCTGGGTGGGGGATTTAGCTCAGTGGTGCTGCACCCGCCTTGTGGGTGCAAGGTCCTAAGTTCGATCCTGGGTACTGAAAAAAACATTAAGAATTTCTATTCACTAGAAATAGAGAGAAAAAAAAGGCAAACCACAAAACATGTCACTGACGAAGGATTAGGATCTAGAAATAAGAACTATGAAAGGTGAGGAACAGCACAGAGAAGTCTCAAGCGCATAATATTCAGTGGGAAAAGCAAGTTGTGGAGAAATGTATAGCAATACAGACTTCTGGGTCAAAATGATAAGGAAAATGACAAAACATTCAAATAGCGGCTTCAGAGTGTGGAGGGTAGGGAATGAGATCAATGAGACTGGGAGGAGCTATACCAGTACTTTAAAGAAACCGCTAACATTCTGCTTCCCTAAACAATGATGGGGCTGGGGTGCAGCTCAGCGGCAGAGCATGTGCTTAACATGTACAAGGCTCTGGATTTGTTGCCCAGCACACTACATACTACACACACACACACACACACACACACACACACACACATACACACACAGTATGCAAGTACTATATTCATTGAATCATGATCCTTTGTGTCTTGCATATATTTTCTAAGTATTTGTATTAAGTAGATATAAGTATTACCTATTTAATATATTAATAGATATATTAATTTATAAGATATAATAGATATCTAATGTAATATATACCTAAGGTAGTGCATATATATATATATGGTAGATAGCAAGGAGCAATCCAGAAACACTCCAGGACTTTAAACTGATAACTAGCTGTGCTTCCTAGGACTTTTTTCCTTCCCCTTCAGTGCTGGGGGTGGAACCTTGAGTCTGGCACAGCCTACGGCTCTGCTTAGCTCACTACTAAGGCCCCCCCACCCCCAGGCCCTATACTTTCTTACCTGAAGAAAAGCTCAAATGAACTTCTGTCCCCTTAACTGACAATCTTTAACTATCTGGGATGCTCTTGTATAATTTTGTCAGTTACAAAAATTGACCTTTTCATTTTTGCAGTACCAGGAATCAAACTCAGAACCTTGCACTTGCAAGGCAGGTGTGGTGCCATTGAGCTAAATCCTGAGCCCCCATTTTTTGTTTTGGTTTTGTTTAAAAATTGACCTTTCACAGGACAAAATTGTGATACTTGATCCTTGAATGGATCTGGGAGGGGGGCATCTACAAAGGGTATTTTGGGTCATTTGGCAATTGGAATATGTATAATAGATTAGATTAAAAGTGTAGATTTGATGTTAAATTTATTGAAGTTGGTGAGTGGTTTGCAATTATATACAACACCCTGTTTTCAGTATTGAACTCTTTACACTGAAATACACAGAAGAAATTAGTGGTAAAAGGCCATGATACTTACAACGCACTCTAATGTGGTTCAGAAAAAAACTGTGAGCACCCACACCCATGCTTGTGGCCAGAGAGAAACCAGTGAAATAGGAAGGGGGGGCAAAACATTAACAAAAGATGAATCTGGGTAAATTGCGGGAGTGGGTTCTCCTTTTTTATTGTACTGGGGATTGAACTTAGGACCTTTGCACTGAGCCACATTCCGAGTTATTTCTTAAATTTATTTTTTATTTTGAGTAAGGGTAATCACTAACTCCCTACATTGTCCTGGCTAGGTGGGAGGCTACAGCAGGAGGGTTACTTAGTGACTTAGTGAGACGCTGCCTCAAGAAAGGGGATGGGGATGCAGTTTATGTAGAGGCCCCAGGTTCACCACAGCACTGAAAACAAAAGTTTTCTGTTATGCCGGTGACAGATTTCCAGATTGTTTGATATTTTTAAAAAAAGAAATAAAGAATACTTTTATTGGCTGAAATAATGAAGGTAAAAAGCAATCAACTCTGAACTTTTTATATTAAAAAAAGGGTAGGGCCAGTAACAAAAATGGGATGCAGAGATAATTGGTGGTGGAAGAACAGACAGTTTGTTCTAAGGGCCTGGGTTTTAGGGCAATAGAATGCCAAGAAGTGCCTTAAAGATGACAATTCATATCTGGAACTGAGCTTGGTACTAGAGCAGAGATGGGGGATTGGAGTTGAAACCACAAGGACAGTTTCTCCATAAACGTGTGAAAGAAGGAAATGTAGAATGGGAAAAGTTGGTGGTCAAAGAATAAGTCTTGAGATACAACCATAGATGAAGAGGAGAAAGAAACACAAAGGTAAATGATGCATCCATTGTGAGAAAGAAGCCAGGCAGAGTGGTATACACTTGTAATCTGAGCACTCTGGAGGCTGAGGCAGGAGGATTTGCAACTTTGATCCCAACCTAAGCAATTTAGCAACTTAGTGAGACCGTGTCTCAAAAAGAAAATAAAAATAATAATAAACGGCCAGGGATGTAGCTCAGTGTGAAGGTCCTGGTTCACTCCCCAGTGCCACTAGCAAAAAGGGAGAAAGGAGTGTTGAGTCAGGAGACAGGAAAGGGAGAAGTCACTGTGTCCACCACCCCAGGCTGGCCAAGGAGGGTTAGGGTGATGATAGGGGCCCAAACATCATTTGCATGGCACTTATTTGTTGAGTACCTATTTGTCACTGAGCTTTGCACACAGTGTGAAAAAAAAGATCTTAAAAGCAACAAAAAGCTTTCAAAATAGCTTGAGTAGGGGGATATATGGGTGGGATGTAGGGACACGAGCAGATTTTAAAGGATCAGTATCACTGTATTTAATAATGACCTTGTGATATCACAAATAAATTCCCCCCCATCTTCTTTCTTTCTTTCTTTTGGTACCGGGGCTCAAACTCAGGACTTTGCACCTGTGAGGCAGGCGGGAGAACCACTGAGCTAAATAAATCCCCAGCCCTCTTTCTTTCTTTTTGAGACAAGGTCTCAAAATGTAGTTCAACCGGACCTGGAACTCACTATGTAGCCCAGGCTGGCCTCAGACTCACAGCAATCCTCCTGCCTCAACCTCCTGAGTGTTGGGATTACAGGCGTGTGTCTCACATCCAGCCAAATAAAACTTTCAGACGAGTTCAGGTGCATTCAAGGTGGTATGGCTGTAGACTTAGCCAAATAAAACTTTCAAGAGAGCAGGAGGAAAGGAGAGAGAATGAGGCTGGGGTCCAGGAAGTGTGACTTTAGGGAGATAATGTAAGGAAATGGGAGGCAAAAAATTTCCTTGGTGTAAAAGAATGAATTTGAGAGCTCAACTACCACCTTGTGGTTTGGGATTGTTCACTCTTTCTGGTCTTCAGTTTCTGATCTGTAAAACGGGATAACAGTTCTTATCTAATGGGGTGTGTGTTTGTGTGTGTGAAATCAATTAATAAATGTAATGAACTTAAAACAGTGGTTGGCAAATAATAATCACTCAAGAGCAGGGCATGGTGCTACATGCCTGTAATACCAGCATTTAGGAGGCTGAGGCAGGAGGTTCACCACAAGTTCCAGGCCAATCTGGCCTACACAGAGAGTAGAAGGCAAGCCTGAAATACCTAGGGAGACCTTGTCTCAAAAAAAGGAAAATCACTCAAGAAATGTTAGATACTGGGCTAGGGATGTAGCTCGGGGACAAAGTGCCTACCTAGCACATCTGAGGCCCTGGTGATCCCCAACACTATAAATACACACACACACACACACACACACACACACACGCTCATGCGTGTGCACAAAAAGCTTAGATATTGCCTTTATATTCTAGGAGTTTGGCACAAAGAAAAGAGAAATGAAGTGGAATTTTGGAGAGAAAAATACATTCAAAGTTGCGTAGTTTTTAAGGTTAAGGCCTCTCTCTGTCTTGATATGGTGGTGCATGCCTATATACTCAGGAGGCTGAGGCAGAAAGATCTTAAATTCCAGGCCAGCCTAGGTACATAGCAGACTCTGCCTCAAAAAACAAAACAAAACACCTGTCAGATGTGGTGGTACATGCCTGAAATCCCAGCACTTGGAAGGCTGAGACAGGAAGATCGTCATGAGTTGGAGGCCAGCCTGGGCTACATAGTGAGTTTAGGCCAGCTTGAACTATATAGTGAGACTCTGTCTCAAAAAACAAACAAACAAACAAACAACTTCTCTCTCATTCTAGCAGGAGGAAAATCAGACCAGGGGTCAGATGACTCCGCTGATGCCAGATTTCTATAGACACCCATACCTTTGGCGGTTCTGTGGTCATCTTGATGCTGGCCTGCAGGATTGAGATAGGGAAGTCGGGGTGGGGGCTAGAGCTGAGCCAGAGGCGGAAGGAAGGGTGAGGGTCCTCCACCTGTAGTTGCTCCACCAACTTGTCCAAGTTGGGCATCCAAGACAGGGACAGATGGCAGTTTGCCAGGAATACCCAATGTCCTGCAAAAGAGAAGCCAGGGACAGCAGAAATCACTCCCTAACCCCACCTGTCCCCACACTTTCCGGAGCGGAAGGACACTACTATCCCAGTAGGCATCTGGAAGTGACAGAGGGGACAGTGCCCTTTGCTCAAGTCTGTCACTCCTTGGGCCTTCTGGAAAAGTGGGAGCCATGGTCATCTAGGGATGGAGGTGGGTGCAAAGGAGTAGACAGACACTGACCCTTAGCCACACCATCTCTGAGGAGTCGAGCAGCAATGGGGGCCTGCCCCTGGCCAAGGGAGAGGGCGTGGAAGCGCTGGGCCATGCCTGTGTGCTCTGCCAGCTGGAGCAGGGCACTGGTGGGGTCCACGCCAGGGGACAGGATGAATATGAGTGGGGTTTGTGGCGTTGAGTCCTCCATCACCTGGAAGCAAGGCGACACCTTAGGCAGAAGCCAGGGAGAAGTCTGTAGCAGAGCATAGGAGGCAGGAAGTCTCCTGTGTGCAGGAGGCAGGACCACTGACCAGCTTCATGTTTAGCACGGGTGGCTCAATGAAGCGGGAGCCAAGATTGGAGACGATGAAAGAGGTCACACAGAATGACACCCGGTCCTGACGCAGGGAGCGCACAATCAGCATCCGTTGCATTTCATTGCAGGCATTTTCCCACTCACCTGGGCATGAGGAGAGTAATGGCAGGGAGAATAAGTCTGGAAGAGCCAGGGATCAAACAAAGGGAACCTGGCAGAGACTGCAGCCAGCCTGGGGAGCTTAGGAGAAGGGTGAAGAATGAAGGGGCTGGAACCCAGGCTGGAGGAGAAAGACATGGGGGGAGGGGGCTCCAGGGCCCAGGCACCTGGCAACATGGCCTTCTCTGGGGCGGCGTTGGTGTACCACATGTGCCAGTCCCGGGGGTACTGCTCGAAGGAGTTCATGAGCCCATGGAAGTTGGTCAGTTTGTCCAGCTCTGTGATGTTATCCCAATAGGCATCTGCTAGCCAACTAGTGCACGGGTTGTCCATCTGACCCTCCCGATCCAGGACCTGGGTGGACAGCAGAGGGAGGCAGAAAGACAGACAGACAGACAGACAGGAATGCCTCGAAAAAAGTCACTGACTTTGAATGTTCCCAGCACAAAGAAATAACAAATGTCTGAATCGATGAATATGCCACTTACCTTTAACTGATGATTCCGTGCTGTATTATATATGCACCAGTGTCACATTTCAGGTCACTGTACTCCACAAATGTGTGCAGTTACTATGCTGGGGATTGAAACTAGGGCCCTGCACATACTAAGCAAACATTCTACCACTGAACTACATTCCCAACCCAAACTGTACACTTTAAAAACATTTTTTTAAACAGGTTCTTATTAAATTGCTAAGTTGCCCTGGCTGGGCTTGAACTTGCAATGCACCTGCCTCAGCCTCCCAGAGGCCTGGGATTATAGATGTGCATAACCTCTCCCAGCTTTTTTCCCTTTCCTTCCTTTCTCTCTCTCCCTCCCTCCCTTCCTTCTTTTTGGGGGTAAGAAAGCCAAGATAGTCTTGGATGAAACAAAATGAAGACAAAGACGAATCCAGGAATCCAAGAAGGACTGAATCCACCTTTTCTGCAGAATAAATTGGAGAGTGGAGCACTGCAGGGGCCAGACTGGTACTCGCGCTACTGGGAGCTATCCGTTGATCTTTAGGAAGCTTGCGCCCTCTGGTGGACCTTTGGTAATAATGCCTCCACCCCAATGACTGGAACCTCACCCGGTTCGGTTTATTCATCCTCTTTTACAAACAAACAAACAAATAAAATTTTTGCAGTGTTCACAAATGCTAGGCAAGTACTTTGTAACTGATCTACATGCCCAGCCCATAAGTTTTGTTTTGTTTTTAAGATGGGGGATTCGTTTTTTTTTGAGGGAGCGCAGTTTGAGAGGAGACAAGGTCTCACTATGTTGTTTAGGCTGGCCTTGAACTTACTATGTAGTCCAGGCTGGTCTCAAGCTCAAGGCAACTTTCCTGCCTCAGCCTCCCTAGTGCTGGGATTATAGGTATGTGCCACCACACCTAGCAGCCTCTGGGATTTTTAACAAATACAGTGTTTATTGTTTATGAACTATGTGTTTTATTTTATTTTATTTTTCTTAGTACCAGGAATGGAACTAAGGACTTTGAGCCTGCCAGGCAGGCAAGGTGCCACTGAGCTACATCCCCATCCCTGATTATGTGTTTTAAATGTTTGGGATGCATCGCTGAAAAAATTGGACAAATATTCCTCTTCCCTTGAGGAGCTTATTTTCCAACATGGAATTATGAACCTATGGGTAAATTATGGACATAACAAATACAAGTAAATAAATTATCTAGTACATTAAAGATGGTAGTGTTGTAGAAAAATAGAATAAGCTAAGGAAGGTAACAAGATTAAGAGTGCTGGGAGGTAGGGTGAGGCATTGAATAAAATCAAAGGCTGGGGGTGTAGTTCTGTGGCAGAGCATTTGCCTAGCATGTCAAGGCCCTCACTAGCATGAAAAGGAAGAAGAGGAAGAGGAAGAGGAAGGGAGGAGGGGAAGAGGAGAAGATAAAGGAGGCTCCCTGAGATGAGGCTCAAAGGAGGTGGGAGAGGAAAGGTCACACCTGGGGGTTGTCCAGTGTGGGGCACAGCCGGGACCCAGGCTCTACAGTGAGCCTGGCTAGAACATCTGAGGAGGCGGTGGGGCCTGTGGGGCTGGAGCAGTATGAGGGGCTGGGCAGAGGGCGACGATGCCGGTGATGGGGACTCCTGTCAAATGGTGTCCCCATGAAAGGGCCCTCTCCGTGGCTGAAGTGAAAGTTTAGGTGCTGGGGGCCCCTGGAAAGCTGTTACTGAAAATGCAGGTGAGAGAGGAACTAAAGGTGGCTGAAGGATTAAAACTGCTGTCCTGCAGAGAGGGGGTGCAGCTTCAAGGCCCATTTGAAGCCCATAAGGATGTAAAAGGAGTCCTGTGGGTCGGCACAAGTATGCTTTTCCCCAGCTGCCTAAACCACACGGGGTCAGAGGGAAAGAAGAGCTGGACCTAGCAGAGCTGTCATTCTGCCAAGCAGATGTGACACAGAGAGCAAGGGGAAACAGAGTGGAGGTGCCCACAGGCAGAGACTGTGATGGTGACCATGCAATTCAGGCCGGGAAAAGAGTGGCTTCAGATGCAGCAAAAAGGTGGCAAAATCACAGCCACCCGAGGGTCACAGGTAAGCAGTGCTCCAACACTCAGCCAGCTCCACATGCCAGGGGCACAGGGCAGCCACTGCCACTGCCACAGCCCCAGGCAGCTCACAGTGCTCTTGCTCCTGGCCTGGTTTTTCTCAGTTCATTCACTGAAGATTTGGGCCTGACCTCCAGGGTCCAGGGTCTTTGTCACACATGACCGCATCCCCAACCTTGACCACCCATGGCGGGCTGTGCGTGCTGGCCAACTCACCACACCCCCACGCAGAAAGAAGTTGTACTCGTCCATGTTGAGCTTGCCAGAGGTCTCCAGGATCTTGGCGCACATATGAAAACTGAAGAGCAGTTTGTGGCATTCAAAAAGGGTGCGGCAGGTGTACCTGGGAGAGGGGACATGAAGGATGGAGGAGGTGGGTGAGGCTGACAGCATGCCCAGCACAGATGTTCACTGGGTGAAGAGCCTCACACAGGGTAAGGTCTTAGTCAGCATCTAGTCTGAAAACCTCCAGGGACTCAGGGGTCCTGAGCAGACTTTCCCAGAGTTCACTGGTAAGTAGGCATTCAACCCCATTAAGGAATGAAACATTAGCAGTACGGGGTGGCACACTCCTTTAATCCCAGCACTCTGGGAGGCTGAGACATGAGGATTGCAAGTTCCACCCCAGCTTGTTTCAAAAAATTTTAAAGGGCTGCATCAAAAAAGATGTAGCTCAGTATGAAGGCCCTGGATTTCATCTCTAGTACTGAAGAAAAATAAATGAGAGAGAGAGAGAGAGAGAGAGAAAACACTGTCAGTGTTTCTGCAAATATTTATTTGCCAACTGTGTTGGCAGGGCGTCTGACACAAAGATGAGTAAGAGGTAATCTCTGTCCTTGAGGAAAGGAAGTCAGGCAAGGAAGGGAGGCCTTGTACTCTGACACAGACACACAGGTGCTGGGTTGTGACGTAAATTACGATAGGGTGTGATGAGTCATACAAAGAGGTGGCCATGTTGTCAAGGCAGGGGTGCCCAGCTTTGCCTCGTGGAAGCGTCTCAGAGGCTTTCCCCAAAGTGCAGTGGTGCTATTGGGCGGTGTGGGAAGAGCAGAGGGGTGAGTGCTCCAGGGAGGGCTCAGAGCATGCATAAAAGTCACGGGGGAAGAGTCAAGGGGAAGAGCTGGGCTCAGGGCTCATGTCTGTAATTCATCCTAGCAGTTGGGAGGCTGTGGCAAGAAGATCACCATAAATTTAAGGCCAACCTGGGCTACATATGAGACCCAAGAGTCAAAGAGAAGAAGAGGCAGTACTGCCCAGTCAGCTGGGGAACAGGGGTTCCTGGGGGCCACTGGAGAGGAGACAACCACTGAAGGGTTTAAACCAAGAATGACAGGGTCGGATCATATATTTGAAGGCTCACAAACTGAAAGGCAGGATGACCTGTCAGGGGCCTCTGCGCAGTTCAGAAAGACCGTGAAGACCTGCATGGAGGCCCAGCTGAAGCAGTCAGCGGAGAGAGGGGAGGGGGCAGTTTACAGAAATATTCATGAGTATAGATCTGGTGACTTGTCTGAGAGGGAAGAGTCAAGGGTAACTTCTGGTTCCCAGCTTGGGTGGTGGGTGTTGGTGCCACTCAGAGGTGAAGATCCTAGTGGAAGAGGGAAGATTGAGTTTGGTCTGAAACAGGTTGAATTTGAGGACTCTGGGATGTCAAGGAAGAGAAGTCAAGTATTTTGCTGCTTTTTGTTTGTTTGTTTGTTTTTGTTTTTTGAGACAGGGTCTCACTATGTAGTTGAGACTGACTTGGAACTCACTATGTAGCCCCGGCTGGTCTCAAACTCACAGTGATCCTCCTGCCTCAGCCTCCCGAGTGCTGGGATTATAGGGGTGCGCCACCACGCCCTTACTTTGCTGCTTTAAATGGGATCTAAAGACCAGGAGCAGCAGCTCTCCTCGGAGCTTTTTAGAGATGCACAATCTCAGGCCTCACCCAGACAATTTGAATCCCAATCTGTATTTTAACAAAACTTGTAGTGTTGGTTTTTGTTGTTGTTGTTTTGAGACAGGGTCTTGCTGTGTAGTTCAGACCAGCCTTGAACTCTCTCTGTAGTCCAGACTGGCCTTGAACTGGTGGCAGCTCTCTTGCCCCAGCCTCCAGAGTGCTGGGATATCAGGCAACCACTTCACCCAGCCCCAGTGCTTTATGTACACATTGACATCTGAAAGTGCTAAAATCATTCAATGCACAAAAGAGAGCTATGGATATAAAACGGAATCAGCAGCCCGTCGGTGATGGTTAAACCAAGAGAATGACTTCCCAGGATGATGTAAGGAGAGGAGAGTACTCGGCCAAGGACAGCAGGATGAAGTGCTATGCGTGAAGTAGCCAGAGGAGAAGATCAGAGCCCACCATTTCGCCCCTTGCCTAGCACACATGAAGATCTCGAACCTGTACACAGCATAGGTGTGGTAGTCATTCAGGTAGTCAATGCGATCCTCCAGCTTATTGCTGCGATGGCTCTTGTCAATGCTGAGGATGAAGAGGCTGATGTAGGCATCCAGTGAGAACTGGTACATGGGATCAATGCAGCCCATGTCATTGAGCACGAAGAACAGTACTGATGCACGCTGGGCACATGGGCGGTAAGCCTGTGGAGGGGTGGAGGGGGAAGAATGAGGGCCACAGAGGGGCAAGACACAGCAGGGCCTTGGACAAGGGGCCTCCGAGCTGCTTCTTGTTGGCTGGCGAGGAACTGGGCTGGAAGGGCGCAAGAGCTCACCTCACGGGCCATGTCAATGTTGATCTCTGTGGTCTCACTGGTCTCCAGCTGCTCAGTCACCTCACTGGCAGTTATCTTGGATGTCTGCAGGGTGTTCACCAGCTGCACATCATCTAGCAGGGAGCCTGTGGCCTCATTCAGCAGCCTGGGGATGGGGAACCAAGGAAGCACATGCATCAAGGGGTTCAGGGTATGGGGCTGGAAGGATGGACTCACTGGCCCCTGGAATGCTGGCTGTGCCTATGGGTAGACCGGAAAGATGCCAGGAGAGAACAGGACAATGGGACGGTGGGTAGGTGGAGGCAAAGTCTCACCGGAGGATCTCGTCCTCCAGTTCCTTGAGCTTCCTCTTGCCAGCAGCAATATTGATGACCAGTGAATCCTTCTGTTCCTCCAGCTCAGGCCGTTCCTTCCGTACCACAATGCCCAGCAGTTGGGCTTCCAGGCCCTGGAAGCACCAGAACTTAGGGTAAGGATCTCATTCTTGCAACCTTCACCCCTGCCATCCTCTTACACCTCCCCACTCCAAGACCCTCATCCTCAGTTGTCCAACTCAAGCTTAGCTTTTCTTCCAAACTCTACAGCCTCTCCTGCCTCACCCAAGCTCAGCCCAGGCATCAGCTCTTATCCACCTGTTCTTTAACAGCAAAGTTTACAATGGTGGTCTTGGCTGAGGTCTCTGGGCTGTAGTGGGGATTGGAGAGCTTGGTGGTGATATAGAAACGAAAATTGGTGTTATATTCCACCTCCTTGTCTCCAATGTGCATCAGCAGCTGGCCACCTGCATCCACAAAAGGACAAAGGTCAAGGGTATATGACCAACTGTGGGCTTACCCATTCCCCAATGGCATCTAGAGTAGTGATTCATTATGCCCTAAAGGCCTAGGTCAGTAAGTAGAAGACACAGCCAAAGAGCCTCCCTTCCTCCCTGGTGTCCTGGTTAGCTGGCCTCTGGGACTTGTCCCACAATCCAAATCCACAGCAAACCCAGGTGCTGACCAATATGAGCCACAGACTTGTTGAGCACAGGGTTGAGTGTGGGGTCCAGATATTCCTGCACATTCTGGAGCAGCACTGGGTATCCGAACTGGACGGCCTGTTCTAGGATTCGAAGGTAATCGCTCATCTGCAGGTCAATGATCTTCAGGCCCTAGAGAGCAAGGGAGAAGATGGAAGAAACACCAGGAGACAATGGCCAAGTGTAAGACCTCAAGAAGAGACTGGGCTTGGGAGGAGATTCTATTGGGGCTGCCCAACCAGGCGCCCAGCCTTATACCTGGTTTCCTTCCATGCTCTTGATCCATCTCTGGGCCTGGGCCTGAGGGTCAATCATGAGGGCCCACCTGAAGGGGGAGGCATCAATTGGAAAACAGGCTCTGCTCCTCCTTGACCTCCCATTCCCTGCAGCATCCTTACCTGTTGCCACGGGTGACAATTATGCCATTTTCAGTGGAGAAGGCATCTGAAGGCAACCCCTGGATATTCCAGTCCCGAACTCTGGTAGGATTGGACAGGAAATTATCAATGGTGAAGTGAGGTGAGCAAGGAACCTGAAGCTCCCGGATCTGGGGAGAGAAGGATCCCAAATTTTAGCTTGAGTTCAGTAGCCTTGTCTCTCCTCTTCTCTATGTCTCTGAATATTCCCCAACCCTCTAGCCCCAATCCTGTTTTACAGCTCACCCTAAGAACACTTATCATACCTGGACCTCCATCTCACCTCTCACCTCTCCTGTGTTTGTGTGCGTGTGTGTGTGTGTGTGTGTGTGTGTGTGTGTGTGTGTGACAGAAACTCTCTGTGTAGCCCAGGCTGGCCTTGAACTTGTGATCCTCCTGCCCCAGCCTCCCAAGTGCTGGGATTACAGGTGTTCACTACCACATCCTGCTCCCATCTCACCTTCCTGATCCAGATTTGGTTGACAATCTCATCCCGGTAGTTGGTCAAGAAGGGTCCCATGTAGGACAGGAAGGCAGCTGCCAGAAGACAGTCTCCTACCAGGTAGCCAAGATCCTCCTCCAGGCCCTGGTGACAGGGAAGAAGCTGCCTGGGCTCCAGTCCTTCGGGAGACACTTGGAATGCTTTTGAAGGTGCTTTCCTCTGGACACATCAGATCAAAGAAATTCTTTCCTCCTCCTAAGCCTTTGTGCTCTGGCAACCTGGTTCTAATTACTTTTTTTTTTTTTTCTAATTACTTTTGAGTTCCATACCTCTGGCAGCAATGTTTACCCTCTGGTGATAAGGCCAACCCTTTCGGAGCCAGGAGCTCACTGAGGTGGAGACAAGATGGCCCATGTCTGTTGTCTGTCAGGTTGGCAGCTGTAGCAAGAGCCCGTGTGTGTGCTTCCCAGCCCCACCCAAACACAGAAGGGCCCCCAAGGGCCTTTGCATCCACATTCTCGCCAAATGCATTCCAGACACCCAGGTTCCACGTTGTCCCTCAGTGGGAAGGGGAAGCATCTTTGAGATGGGCAGGTGGAGTAGTGTGGGGTGATGGCCCCCTGCAGATCTCACCTTTACGGTCTCCTCCCATCGGGCCTTCTCGCCAGCTAAGCCCGACACCAGCATCCCAGCTCGCTCCAGCTTCAGCTGCATTTCTTCAGACTTCTTGCGGAGCTCTTCCTTTTGTGCCAGCTTCTCATCATACTGCTTCTTCAACATCTCCAGTTTTTCCGCCACCTGGGAGGAATCAATGACAGAGAATAGAAGGCAGGGGTCCAGGGAAGATTGTTCTGGATCAAATCATGACTCTCTATAACCTTGGGACTCTCTCTCCCTCTCCTTTTCGCTCCTCCCCCACCTTTATTTTTTTGAGATAGGGTCTTGCTATGAGCTCAAGCTGGCTTTCAACTCACTATGTAGTCAAGGATGACCTGGAACTCACTATGTAGCCCAGTAGGCTGGTCTTAAACTCACAGTAATCCTCCTGCCTCAGCCTCCTCAGTTCTGGGATCACAGACGTGTGCCACCATATTTGGCTGTTTCTTTCATGCCAAAGCAGGAAGATAAAAAACTCAAGCCCAGCTGTGCGTGGTGGTACATGGCTATAATCTTAGCACTCAGGAGGCTGAGGCAGGAGGATCACTATGTAGCCTGGGGTACATAGGGAAACTGTCTCAAAAAACAAAAAACGAAAGAAACAAACAAAAAAACCTCAAGCCCATCCTGGACAACTTAGCAAGACCCTGTCTCAAAATAAAAGCAATAAAATAGGGATGGAGAGGCAGCTCAGTGTGAAGCCCCTGGATTCAGTCCTCAGTACTGAAGGAAAAAAAAAAAAAAAAGGTAGAGGACAGGGACCTCTTGAAGCAACAGACCTCTAGCCCACATTTCCACAGCTAGTCCCATTCCATGCAGACTTCTATTTAACCTTTTTCTTTTACATTTTTTTTCAGATAGTTATCTCCATATCACTGAATAACATGCTTGTGCCACTACATTTAAAATATATGAATCTTTTTCCTGTTCAGTTCAGTTCTGCCCTGGGTTCAACACCACCCCTGGAATGATTATATATGAATCATTCTGTAGTTTTACTTTTTCTTTTTTTTTTTTTTTTTTTTTTTTTTTTTTTTTTTTCCTTTTGCTACTGGGAATTGAGCTTGGGACCTTGCACTTGCAAGGCAGGTGGCAGAACCACTGAGCTAAATTTAGCTATTTCGGTTAAAAAACTATCATGAAAATTTGTAAGCCTAGAACTACCCTTCAGCTAGATTTAATAGTTGTAACCATACTGCCTAAATTTATCTCATTTATGAGAGGGTTATTTGCCAAAATATCTGAAGTTAGATTACAAATTCATGAAATTTCAAACCTAAATACTTCTTTTCCTATCTCTAGAAAAAGAAAGGACATGTTCTTCATTAACCATGATTGTACCTAATAAAATCTTTGTCATATTTTAGAAAATAAATTTCACTATTTGTCTGTTTCTTTGTTTTTGTTTTTGTTTTGCTTGAGGCTTTCTATCTAGGGTCTTTCTATCTAGCCCAGGCTAACCTTGAACTTACAGCAATCGTCCTGCCTCACCCTTCCAAGTGGTGGGATTAGAGGCTGTACGTGGCCAGCTTCTTTGTTTTGAATCGTGAATACATTCACACAAATCAAAATTCAAAAGGAAGAAAAGTATATACAACATAGGATGTCTTCCTGCTATTCCTGACTCAGCTTTACCCCTGCCTTTGTTTCTTGCATAGCTTTCTAGAAAATTCTGCACACAGACTAGGGACTCTCTAGTTGATAGAAAAAGGAAGTATAAGCACTAAGAGAACAGTGGAGTTGTTCACTACCAAATCCTTAGGCCCAGAATAATGCCAGCATGCAAACACTTTTTGAGTGATTTTTTTTTTTTTAACAGCACTGTGGATCAAACCCAGAGCATTACACATGCTAAGCAAGTGCTGTACAACTGAGCTACACCTTGGCCCCAATCAATAAATGTTTAAATAAAAATTGGCAGTTAGAGACTACAACACTGGTCTGTATCTGGTCTGTTCTTCTTTTTAGCACTTTACTAGTTTTAAGTTTTTTGGGGGGGGGATTTTTTTTTTTTTTTTTGCAATGATGGGAGTAGATGGGTGTAGGCCTCACACCTGTGGGGCTACCCATGAGCTGCACCCCCAGCACATTCATTAGGTTTTCAATTCTGAAATAAATGCCTTTTATTTGTTTTGTTTTCACATTGATGAGAATCCACCCAAGGCCTAGCATATAGTAGACAAGCACTCTACCACTGAGCTACATCCCCGGCCCTGCCTCATTGTTTCTAACCATTCCAAAATAATCTTGTGACTGAACCGTATTTTATTGGACAAGTCTGCTATAGACAGACGGTTGTGGTTTTCCAACATTCTGCTGTTATTCTCCATGTTCTAATGAGTATCTTTATATACACATAAGCACACTGTATTATAGTCATACTGCTATTTCTCTTTTTCTTTTAATTCCATTTATCTTGTGAATAGAGATTTAAAAATTCAAAAGGCATGGAAGCATGAAACCATGAAAAATCTTCCTCCCAACCCCATTCCTAGGTTCTACCTACCCCGCTCCTTTCTCTTAGAGGCATCCAATGTTACCTGTTGAATCTCCTTCCAGAAATATTCTACACTGCTGTTTTCTGGTGTATTAATTGTAGATTATTCTACTCACTATATGTTCTGACAGATGAAGATTTAATTTCTTTATACCTCTGCATCACCACCCCTATCTATTAACACTTTAGCTACTTTTATTGGTATAAATAACATAAAACCTCATTTGACCAGACTGGGGGCGCCACTCAGTGGTAACTCATGCGCTTAGCAAGCACAAGGGCCGGGGTTCAAAGCTTAGCACCACAAAACAATAAACAACTCATTCACTTTATTCTGTCTACTATGGGGGCATTGGCTGTTTTTTTCCTCCTTATCCCCTACACCTACTTTCTCAGCTATACTTTTATTTTTACCCTGTCAAAGTTGCTAACATTTACACTTAGAGGCCACAATTAATCCTCTGTGCTTTGCTTCAAGGATGGTTAAAAAGGTTGACCGTCACCAGCAGCATTGACCTTAACATGACCAGATGGTGAGCACGCTGGGGCACATTGGGGTAGGTCAAGCACATGATGCACCAGTTGTTAAATATGTTATCCTTGGTTGTGTTCTTTCAGAAATTCTCAATGTTTGGATTGCTACCAATTAGATTTAGTTTGCTTTTTAAATTCTTTTCTGTAACCTGAATTATCTCTGCCTTTCCCTCCTCTGGAACCAAGTTTTGTGATAATTTTTTATCTTGGCATTCACTTCCGGACAGGTGGCCTTTTTAGATTTGTGTGGCTGATTTATAACCATGTAGACTGCGTGATCACATGTCACCTTGACCTTGGCAGGTGACACAGGTGACTGGCTGCTTCTACAGAGGCAGCACAATTTGAAACAGGAAGCTTCAAGGAAACTGGGCTTGGGCCACTCTGACTTTGACAAAGGGGAAATGTAGGCCATAAAGGTGACCTTAACAAAGGGCTGGGAGAGCTCAGGACAAGGGCTACTAGAGCTTACAACACAGAAACAACCTGCCCCAATATTACTGGCTAGGCAAAAGTGGAGTAGGTTGCTTTTAGGTGATGATAGACAGAATGTTAATTTTCTACTTTTATACTACAAGGCAGTCGGTTTTTGTAAAGCAGGTTTTTGCTTTAAACAGTTACTGTCAGGCCTAGGTAGACAGATTGCACTACAACAACTGTCTCATTATCCAATTTTCTGAGAGGAAGGGGAGACTAAGGTGGCAACTGCAGTTAAAATTCTTCAGTCCTGTGGCTCATCCACAGGTTTATGGACTGAAAGTGTTCCACCCTGGCTGGGATCCAAGGTAATACAGTTAGGGTAGCTGGGCCTGCAGGTATGATCTGTGCCTGGAAGGAACATGCCTCAGCAACTCAGCAGCTCAGATATGGAGGGAAGCAGTGTCTTAGGACACAAACGAATGGCAGATGACTTGTCTCACAAGGCCATGGGGTACAGGCTTCACAGCATCAACAGTTGCTCCATTCAGGAATCTGCTAAAGGTAATTAACATAAGTATGGAGTCAAGATGAACATCTTCCCTGTGAGGCAGCTGGCATAGGCCTCAGCTTCCAACAAGAGAGGCAGTAATATTATCCACTATGGCACAGACTGACTGCGCCTGACCACAAGGCAGGGAACCTAGAGCTCAAAGGAGAAAACTAAACTTGAGGTGATATCTATCTATCTATCTATAGACATATCTATATATCTACGTATTATTTTAATATAATTTTATCTGCAAATCATGTATGCCTTATTAACTTCTTGAGGTTTGTTGTTTTTTTTTTTTTTTTTTTTTTTTTTTTATTCTCCAATGATGCTCACCAGAGACTTGATTTTGAACTAAAATGGCCTTTGAGGTTCTAAAGGAACTACATCCACTTCCAGGGAGAGACAGTCCTGGAAATAGCTTAGGGAAACAGCACTGACCCACCCGCAGAACCCCTGCTGTGGCCTCACTATTTGTGCTTACACCCCAGTATTCATAAGTCAAAATTTAATCCTCAGCACAGTGCTTTGCTAGGTGATTAGGTCACGAATGGGATTAGTGCTCTTAAAAAAGAGGCCTGAGGGAGCTTGTTCAGCCTTTGCCGGGTGTGGATACCTAGAGGGCACCATCTATGAGGATGGGGCCCTTAGCGGATGGGAGATCCACTGGGGCCTTGATTTTGGACTTCTTGACCTCCAGAACTATAAGAAATAAATTTTTTTGTTATAAATCGCCCAATGTTTTGTGATAGCAGCTCAAAAAGTTTAAAGTAACCCTTCATCTGCAGAACAAGAGCAGGGAAGATGGTCTGAGGACTTTAACTTAAGAATGTTGGATTTTAGATTTTTTAACTCACAAAGGCAGGATCATTTGATTTCAGATTTTCATTTCTCTGGACTATAGTTTACAAAGGCTTTTCATTTGTGAGATTTAATTTCTCCCTGGAAATTATATTCTGTATGTCAGTACCATGGCAGCAATTTTTAAAAATTATTTTATTTTTTTGGTTTTTTTGAGACAGAGTCTCACTATGTAGCTGAGACTGATCTGGAATTCACTATGTAGCCCAGGATGGTCTTGAACTCACAGCAAACCTCCTGTCTCAGCCTCCCGAGTGCTGGGATTACAGGTGTATGCCACCATGCCCTGCTATCCATGGTAGCAATTTAATGCCATCTTGGTTTTTTTTTTTTTTTTTTTTTTTTTTTTTTTTTTTTTTTTTTTTTTTTTTTTTTTTTTTTTTTTTTTTTTTTTTTTTTTTTTTTTTTTTTTTTTTTTTTTTTTTTTTTTTTTTTTTTTTTTTTTTTTTTTTTTTTTTTTTTTTTTTTTTTTTTTTTTTTTTTTTTTTTTTTTTTTTTTTTTTTTTTTTTTTTTTTTTTTTTTTTTTTTTTTTTTTTTTTTTTTTTTTTTTTTTTTTTTTTTTTTTTTTTTTTTTTTTTTTTTTTTTTTGCTACTGAACCCATGGCCTCCACACTGAGCTACATCCCCATCCCTTTTTATTTTTTGAGACAGCTTCTCACTAAATTCCCACTAAATTGGTAAATTGTTCAGGTTGGACTTGAAATTGTGATCCTTCTGCCTCCCAGAGTGCTGAGATTATAAGTGTGCACCACTATACCTGGCTTAATGATGTCATTTAGTCACACTGAATGATCTCTGGTATGCTATGTCAAACAATGTGACAAAATATGATTTTGGATGAGAAAATAAAAAAGTGAATTTTCAACTATGGGGTTATAGCTGCCTTGAAGCAGATTAAGGTTGTATTCTGACCCATTTCAGAGTCTTCTGGGGCAATCTCTAAGTCAGTGGTTCATAATATTTGCTATATATCAGAATAGGACCTAGGAAAAAAATATTTTTAAGGCTCCAAACAAATAAATAGTGTCTGGAACAATCTACTAACACTTCACAATGAGATGCTACATAGTAGGCTCTGGGCTCTAGTAGTGTATAGTGCTTTCCCATTTCTGATTGGCTCTAACAGGGATGGTCTTAAGATGCTGATTCCCAAGCTCTACCAAGGATTTGTATTCAGCATTAGCATAGTCTTAGTTCTGAGGTTCTGTTAGAAGATACATTTGGCTCTTTAACTTTATAGCCTTTAACAGTAAAAAGGGAGACATTTTGGTTCCCCATCAGCTTACTTTTATTTTCTTGAGCCAGAGTCTCCCTACAATATGGCACAAGCTGGCCTCAAGCCATTCAACTGAAGAAACCTCCTTCCTCAGCTTTCCAAGAAACAGAGACTTCAGACACAGGCCACTGCACCTGCCTCTCCCTTTGCTTACTCTCATCAGTTAGGGGATCTCAAGGATATGAAGCTCCTCCAAGAGGCTTAACATGATGTGCTCTTTTCCTAGTGAATGCCTTGTTGGCAGCCAATCCCCACCCCGTCCCATTTTTCACATGTAAAGGGAACAACGCCTAATTATTCGGTCCTGAATATGAGTCATCTGGGTGAGAATCTTCTCCAAATGGCAGTGGCAGCAGGATGGCACAGAGGAGGAGCATGTGCATACAGACGCCCGCTCACCAGACCTGCTTGGGTTCTCTGCACAGGCAGAATTGGAAGAGGCCCCCAGGACAACCCTACTTCAGACAGTAAAGATGCCTGCAGCAGGAAAAGACAGGGATGAAACAGGGCCGGGTGGCATGGGGTCAGAAACATGGGGCCCAGCCCTAGCTATGTCAGTAACTAGCCAATGACCTTGGCAAGTTACTTAATCTCACTGCACTGTGGGCTTCTTTTCTAATTTGAGAAAGTTGGATCTGGACAACTTCTATCAGTTGGTTTCAGGTAAAACATTTTGAAACTGTATGACCAGCTTCAACTACACAAAAAATTTAAATGTCTATGTAAAGATAGCATCAACAAAGTTAGAAAACTTTGAAGATCAAAAGATTGGGAAAAATAAGTCCATCAAAAGGGGACCAGTTAATGGTCATTAACTGGTCCCCTTTTGAAAAGAAACAGACACATATGCTGACATGAAACAATCTTTGGTTCCTAGATACTTAAAATAGATGCACAGCACCTGCCTGGCAAGCATGCGGTCCTGAGTTCGATTCCTAGTACCAAAAAGTAAAATAAAATAGAAGGCGCTAAACAGTATGTGTAATGTAAAAAATAAAATATGTATATTTATTTACTTATATAAGCATAGACCACCTTTGGATGAATACAGACAAATTTATTAAAGTTGCTTGCTTTCGTGGAGGGAAGCTGGGTGCTAGAAAGCAGAAGATGGGAAGGTCTTTAGTGGGTCATCCTTTGTACCTTCTGAATTGCAAACCATGTGACTGCGTTACCTTAGGGCAGTGGCAGCAAACCTATGACATTTGTGCCACAGCAGGCTGTTTGTATCATTGAAAGCTCTAAAAGGTTCACCATCACTGCTTCAGGACACATGACCTATTCAATGGAATGATAGACTGGAAGGATGAATTCTTTTGATAATAGCACCTGGTCATTCTGTGTGGTCTGGGAGTTACTTGTGTGTGCATCTTGTCAGAAGTCACCCTATCAGGCATCTAACCTGCCATGGTAATTAACCCCCTCAGCCTTCAGGACAGCTCCATCCCCACCCAAGCACACACACAGTGTGGCTCACAGCAGTGATGCTGACCCTCTTGACCCACGCAAAGGCCCATTTGCCACACACATTCCACCCATTGGTATCCCAGGGACCATCTCCAAAGGCTGTGACAGAGGTCACCCGCTCCAAGTCCGTCTCTGGAAGGGCTCCGGGTGACAGTGTCCTTTGAACCTCTGAGTGTTTTCAAGCCTTTGCTATTAGCTTGGCTTGCTGAGACAGAGGCAGCCCTATATAAACAGGACTGAGTGGGAAGGGAACAGGACTGAGGTAATGTAGGATGGTTGAGAAGGAAATGGAATTAGAGGAAGGGACATTGATGGCAACAAAGCATCTGAGAAACCAAAGCAAGGGACCACTATGGAAAAGCGAGGAGTGACGCTCACCTCCCGCAGCTTTTCCTGGGCTTCGGCGAGGGCTGCTTGCTTTTCCTGAAGCTGGGCCAGGGCAGCATTCATTCGAGCACGCTTGGGCTCCACCACTCGATACAGACGCCCATACAGCTGTAGGGAGACAGTCAGGCCCCATCAGCCCACCCTCCTCATGCCTGGGGAGACTTCCCTCACACCTGGTTCTGTGCTCCCCAGCTCTCTCTCTCACCCTCCCTCACTGCCCCACCCAGCCCAGGCACCACTTACCTCCATGGCCCGCACCCACATGCAGAGAGACTTGGCAGCCAGGGAGACGCGGCCTATGATATCAGGTTGGAAGTCTGGCTGGGCACAGTAGGCTCCAATCTTCTTCAGTACCTTATCCGAGATGTTATCTTTATCAAAGTGGATTAGTGACTTGATGAAGTTCTGTTCCCCTGTGGGATGACAAATACAGGCCTCAGGCAAAGGACTAACCCCATTCTCCTTGTCCAGGTTCACTGCCAAAAATTGCTTACAGCCAAATATTTCCTGGGCTTACTTCCCAAAGTGAACACACCAGACCTCATCCCTACTTCCATCCTCTGACCTTGTTTCCTTTCCTAGTTAACTTCTCATCCCCGGGGCATCCAGCCTATTTTCTATCACTTACCTTTAACACTCAGCCAAACCTCACTACTCACCATTCTTTCCATATGCTTCACACTTCTTCTAGGGCAGGGGCTGCCAAACTACAGCTGGCAGCCTACACTCTACCATGGGAGCCCAAAGTGGAGAAAAACACACAACTTTCCAGAAAAAAAAAAAAAAAGAGTCGTACTTTCCACTTTTGGGTTTTTGCCTGTTGGGGCCCCTGAAGGAATTCCTGCCCTTGAATCCTGTAACACATTCCTACATCGTTATGACAATTCTGTTTTTTGTTTTTGTTTTCCCCAGTACTGGGGATCGAACTCAGGACCTTGTGCTTGCGAGGCAGGTGCAGTGCCACTGAACTAAATCCCTAGCCCTCCTTTTTCCTTCTTATATAAAGATAAGCCATTTCTGTTACTTACAACCAAAGAATCCTGAGGGCTGGGGATTTAGCTCAGTGGTTCTGGCGCCTGCCTTGCAAGCACAAGAACCTGAGTTCAATCCCCGGTGCCCCCCCCAAATCCTAACTGATGTTTCCATCTCCTCTTTCCCCTTGGCTACATGCTCTGAGCAACAATACAATGCCTCATTCATCCCTGTTTCTCTGAGTGTCTGATGCACAGCAGGTGATCTGAGGGAACCCTGTGAGCGGGGAAGTCACTTGTGTGATTATCTGGCTTACCTAGCTGTCGTTTGGCCTCTGTCCATGTGGGCTCATTGCCCCGAAGAATCATGACTGCCTGCATCACCATCTCCACTTGAGCAGGGGGTCGTCCATAGGACTTGATCTCACCTATATCTTTCTTGTTCAGTGACTCTAGGGCCTGGGAAAAGGCATTAATTAACTCAGGTGGTCTGATGGGTCCTTTTATGTACCTTTCTTCCTACTTCCCAGGGAATTTGAGGACAAAGAAGGCCAGCCCCATTCCCACTCCTGGCATCCGCCCCTGGTACCCGCATGGCCTCTTCCAGAGCAGGCAGTGCCTCCTCTAGATCCTTCTGGGCATTGTCAGCCAATGCCTGACACTTGACTTCCTCAATGGCAATCTTTTCGCTGTTGGCTGTTACTGCCTAGGGATGAAAAGAAAATGAGGGTGCTTTGTCTTTGCCTTAGGCAAAGGTGGAATGGCAGGGCTGGTGGGAAAGACAAAAGAGAAAGCTAAAGAAAATTTGAGTGGAATAAGCATCCCTTAGTACAGTAAGTGACGGGACCAGGAAACCTATTCCAGGGCTGGAGTGAGGTGGGGAGTGGAAGGAGTGGGGTGTGAGGGGCAGGGCTGGGGACCTTTTGCTGTTCATCTGCCTCCCGCTTCTGCTGCACAATGATGACCAGGTACTCCTCGCACTGTTTCTGGAACTCGGCCACCTTTTTCTTGGCATCCTCCAGCTCCAAGGACATCACTTCCACCTTTTCCCTAGTTTCATCGATCTTAAACAGTCCTGTCCGCAGCTTATTGGCCTGATCCAGCAGTTCCTGCCGTTTTTCTCCCAGCAGCCTGGGGGAAGAGTAGAATAAGGTGCGTGGAGAGGCTGGGCTGGCCAGAAGGGGTTGTCCTACATGATCGTCCTTCCCTGTGTGCCTCCTCAGTGCTTGTCTTCCTTGCTGTGGCCACCCCCTATTTTCACCCTCCTGCTCATTTTGTTGTTTGTTTTGTTTGAGAGTACTGGTGATTGAACTTGGGGCCTTTACATAAGCTAAATCACCAGCCCTTTTACTATTTTTTTGCAACAAGATCTCACTAAGGGCCAGAGTTGCCTACGCTGGGCTCAAACTTGCTATCCTCCTGCCTCAGACACCTAGAGTGATGGGATCACAGGATTGTGCTACCACATCTAGTTTGACACTCAATAACTTATAAATATATCATGGGAATTGTGATATGACACTGATATGAATTACAATAAATTCACACATGGTCCCTGTGGTACACAGCTCCTTGAAATCTCCAAAGTAACAAAAATACAGTAGCACCTCAGTGCACAAATGCTTTTATTTGTGAACAATTTGGTTTGCAAACAAAATGTTTGGCAAAATTTTGTTTGTGTTTGTGAACTCTGCATTGGGTGATGAACACGACTGCAGCTATATTTCCTGCACAAACACAAATGTGGCCATCTTTTCCGTAATGGAATGAACTAAGGTCATCAACCAAGGTACCACTGTATCTGCTTTCTAGTGAGATGACTAGTGGCTGGGGGCTCCTGAATAGCAATCCAAGCCTGTGATTAGAGAATTGGAACTTTCAGCTCCACTGCATTCCCACTGCTAGGTACAGAAAGGCTGAAGGTTGAGTTGATCACCAATGGCTAATGAGCTAATCCTGCATACATAATGTAGCCTCTTTAATAACCCAGAAGGACAGGGTTCATAGAGCTTTCAGGTTGGTGAACACTCACAGCTCCCAACTCCACAGGCTCCTGTGCTTAGGACCCTTACTCACCTGTATCCTTTGTAACAAATTGGCACTCATAAGTAAACATTTCCCTGATTTCTATGAGCTACTCAAGCAAATTAACTAAACCCAAGGGGAGATCATGGGAACCCACAATTTATAGCTGGTTGGTCAGAAGCACAGGTAAAAATAACCTGGAGCCTGAAACTGGCATCTGGAGTGGGAGCAGTCTTGGGGTTTGATCCCTCAGCCTGAGGATCTGACTCTAACTCCAGGACTGAGTTAAACTATAGGACACCCAGTTAGTGCTTACTGGAGAACTGCTGGTTGTCTAGGGACCCACCCCACCCCACCCAATTTGTATCAAAAACTGTGTTGAGTGTGAGAGTAGGGAAAAAAACACTTCTATTTTTTTTTTTTCTATACAGGTGACAAGCTTACACAACAGTAAAGGCAGAGACGAAAAGACTAGGTATATTATAGCAACATCCCAGCTGTGTTATTGTCTGAAAAAGACAGAGAAATATTTTCCAGAAAATGGGGACAGAGATGGTGTGGACAAGGATGGGAACCCAAGGAACATGGTTGGGGGCTAAAGGGACAGTTCCTCCTACCAGAAGCCCAGTCTGTCACTCATTAACTTCCAGGACAGAGCTAAGAGCCTCTGCATCTCTGCCCTCCCACCTCAGTACCCAGGTCCTTGAGCCTGTCCCCTCCTCTAGCACCTGGATATTTTCCATGACATTATTTCACCAATTTCCCTAAAACAATACCAGCCACCCCAGCCCTCCACACTCCCTGCTCTTTTTCATACTTCTTATATCCAGACACGAGTTCCAGGTAGTTGGTGGGTGTGACATAGTTGTATCTTCGAAGCTCCAACAGCATTTTCTGGGAATACTGAGCCACTGACCAGTGCATGGTGACAAAGATCTGGGCCACTTTCTTGTGGACCTGAAGCCAATAATATGGAATGGAAGACAAAAGAGATGGAGAAAGAAGTGAGAGGGAGGTCAGGGTGTGATAGAGATGGGGAGGAAGGGCTCACATTCTCCTGCGTTCCCAGGTCCACGCCCGCGAGGTACTTCTCAGCCACTTCTAGTAGGGCCTCGCGGGGCCACTCTGAGAACCAGTTGATGGTTGTGCAGTTCACCAAGGCTGGGTACTGGCGGATCCAGTTCCTGGGGAGGGGTTTTGAGAGGTAGTGAGCCATTCACAATGAAGCCTCCACCACACACATCCGCCTGCTTCCGGAGAACCTCAATGTCCCTCCCTCTGGCTCCCTCTATCTTCTCGTCCAGATTTAGGCCCCTCCGAGCCAGCTCAGAGTAGCATTTACAAGCGGATTCTAGGGTCAGAAAGGCCTGAATCCACACATTTAAAGTATGGTTCTTGGGCAAGGCTCTAACTCCTGTGAACATCAGTTTCTTCCTCTCTAGAAGGGGACTAAGTATTCATACTAAGATTGCTGGGGGATTCAATGAGATAGCACATGTGAAATGCTTAGCCTAGTACCTGACACATGGTAAATTCCCCATACTCCATAGTACTAAAAAAATACTTAGTTTAGCTGTTTCTCTACACACACATAACCTCCTCCCATTTTTGATGCCCTTAAAAATCTAGTCATACTAAGAATGAGTAAAGAAAATGTGGAATATATGTAGAATAAAATATCATTCAGCCTTCTGAAAAGAAGAAAATCATATCACATGTTACAACATGGATGAGCCTTGAGAGCTCATGATAAGTGAAATAAATCAGTCATAAAAGGACAGTTCCACTTATATAGGGTTTATCAAAAGTAGTCAAACTCAGGGCGGGGATTTAGCTCAGCGGTTTGGTAGCCTGCCTTGCAAGCGCAAAGACCCAAGTTCAATCCTCGGTACCAAAAAAAAAAGTAGTCAAACTCAGAAACACAAATATAATGGTGGTTTCCAGGGGCCGAGGAAGGCAGGATGAGCAGTTATTATTAATAGGTACAGAGTTTTAGTTTGAGAAAATAAAGAAGTTCTAGAGATCTCTTGGACAACAAGGTGGATATACTTAACACTACTGAACTGTGCATCTGAAAAAGGTTCAGGTGAGAAATTTTGTGTTCTTTGTGTGGTTTTAGTGTTCCAATTTAGCATATGTACTGCCCAAGTGAATACTATGACTTTTTGTTTTGTTTTGCTTTTGGTGCTGGGGATTGAATATGGAGCCTTCACGGTGAGTTACATTCCAAGTCCTTTTTTGGTTTTTTATTTTGAGACAGAGTCTTGCTAAGTTGTCCAGGCTGGCCTCAAACTTGTACTCTTCCTGCTCCAGCCTCTCTGGTAGCTGGAATTATAGGTATGTACTATCATATTCAGCTGTGCACGCAAGTATGTGTATGTGTGTGCACGTGTGTGGATGCCACAATAAAGATTTAAAACAACCAACCAAAAACATCACCAACCAAAAGAAAAAAAAAAAAGTCACATCAAAAGGGATGGATTGGTACTGTTTTGGCCCTAAGAATTTCTTGAAGGAAGATGCAGTTTGTGAGAAAATGATGGGGTAAGCTAGATGGGAAGACCTGCTGTTATTCATGACACTAAGTTCCAGAAGGCACGGAAGGTCACAAGATGGGAGAAAAACCAAATGAGGAGTGCCAAGGGCCTCTAGAAAGAAGAAGCTTATACGATGAGTCACCTGAAGGGGTCCCCCACAGGGCTGAGGCAGAGCACGATGTGCAGGTTGTTCCGCACACGCTCAATCAGGTAGGTGAAGAGGCTGTCTGAGGATTCAGGGACCTGCTCAGCCCTGGCCTGCTCTATGATGAGCGTCTGTATCTGGACAAAATACACACAGGGTCAGGGTTAAAAGCAGCCTTACCCAGTAGGGTCCCCGGATGGTTGAAGGGGAACAACCCTTCAGTCTGGGAGGTGGGGTGAGATGGATAGTGGCATGTCACGGAAGCAGATTCTGGGATCTGTGGTTCTTTAGGGGGTGACTTAGGAAGGCCAGAGAACCTACTGGCTCACAAGCAGGTGTGGAAGGAAGTGTACCTCTTCAAATTCGTCAGCCTTATAGAGATTAGGGACCTCGCCTGAGCTGAGGATGTTGTTAATATCCTCTAGGAAGGATTCATCAGCAATCTGGGTATCCACAAAAAGGAAGGACGTGGTCTTGAGCTCTACCCCAGCATGGCGATACAGACGCTTGATATCTGGCCACATGAAGGATGGAAAAGAGGGGAGAGAACAGACTCACTTTCAATTTCCCATCCTGCCCTTCATTCCACTTCACAGCACATACACAACACCATCTCATACCCAACACACACAAGCCAGCACGTCTCAGTCTGGCTTCCCTCTCTTCCCTCTTGGCTTCGAAGGAACTCAGCCATCTCATCTTTCACTCCAAACACCACCATACCATCTCGGAACTCCTGCTTTCGATAGTGTTTGGTGACCTCGATCTGGAAGGTGTCATATTCACAGATGGATGATGCCAGGCGGGCCAGGCTCTGTCGCCCACTGCCTCCAATACCCACCAAGAGCATGTTGCCCCGAGGCTGTCCAATCACCCGAACGATCCGTGTAACTAGAGGACAGGTGAGGATAATAAATTGGTTGAGCAAACTCAGCAGAGCTACAGGCCCTCAGCTAGGGATCAAGATCCCTGCATGTGATATAAGGGAGCCAAGAGGTTTGGAAAGAGGTTGGTGCCTAAGTCCCTGAAAGCAATTCAGCTTTTAACTTCACCTTGGTTTTTTTTTTTTTTTTT